GAAAACAAACAGTGACGGGCATCCGAGGCCAGTGCAAACAAGTATTTTTATTACAATATGCTATCACAAGCACTCAAGTAATTAATACGCTAATAAAATATATTGGAGCGAAGGTTAATAAAAGACAAAAATTTCACTTCTCTCGTTTTCTTCGTTTTTAATTTTGTAAATTACTCTAAACTTGAGTATGAGATCGTATTCAAAATGCGGCGAAGCTTTCACTATGATTTCTCTTTATTTGTCTTGATCTGTTTAAGGAATGAATCACACAAAAGTTCCAATTTGATAATTTTGTTTCTTGAATGCCAAAATTAGTTTCAGTTTTTAGACCTACAAAGTGTTTAGTGTCTCTGACACCAAAACTTCGACCCTCGTCCTGAACCGGTCGAGTCGAGCACAATACAACAGAACTGTGTTACCTTTAGGACTGCTGTCACAGATAACAAATCGAGAGTACGATTTCCTGCTTAATTATGAATGCAACTTATTGGCCATTCACGAGTATGTATTCATAAATTTGATAAAAAGTGCGCCTCGGAGTGCAAAAGTTGCTTGGTTCCTCACCTGTTCAACATAGCTGGCATAAGCAGCTGACGGTTTGTCCGGATCAACCAAAATTCTCTGCACACCATTTGCTGCCGACAAATTTCCATGTGCTGCTGCTGCTGCTGTTGCCTGCTCAACGGTTTTCTCGTCGACTCCACTCAGCACATATTTGTTAAAACGTGTTGGATCGGATTTCTTCAAAATCGAGAAAGAGCTAAGCAAAACGTGCTGGATCGGACAAAATCTTTTCAAGACATTTTAACTGGTAAAAAAGAGATGCTAAAAAAGTCACGCTCTCGAAAAAGTGTTGTCGAAACCACACTTTCACTGTCTAACAGAAAAAGCTAAACAATGAGCCATAGAACAGCTATGTGCTGTTGGTGCCTGGCTGGTAGGAAAGCTTTTACATCCAACAAAAGCATTAAAGTCATGCTTAACTCCCTCAGAAGTTACGACATTAGCAGATATTTCAACAATAAAGTTAAAAGCAGTAGACAAATCAAAAACTCTGCTTTATGCGGAAGATTATAATCTCAATATTTTATGTTTCTATTCTTCTGGCTTCAACATTTACAATAAAAAGCGACGCATATTTCCGCGCAAACTTTGAAGCAGTCAGATTGTTAAGAGTATGAATGGTCGCTGCTTTACGGTTTATTAAGTGCATTTTTGCTGGCAATGTTTTTGGTGCTATGTGTGATGGGAAAGGGATGGCGGCTAACACCTCGGATGGTACTGCTGCACTATGAGGACACATGATATCTCAATCTGCAGTAGGCATTATTACCATGAAGAGAAGCTGTTGACGATTTTGCACTCTCAAGTGCACGCACATAAGTAGGTATCTGTAAAAAGGGCAATATTATGGTTTTACTGCTAGAAACGATATGCAAGTCGCGTATGGACAAGAAATATTTTCGTGAAAATAGGGCATTCATTTAGTTTGATTCTCGTGATGACATTTGTCAACAATGTTTCCTACGTCTATTGTAGGTATGCGTGATAGTTTAATTTTGCTCACAATCAGCAGAGAATATCCATGCAAATTTTCAGCCCCCTATCCTCTATGGTTCTCAAAATCGTCTCCCCGCCAAAAAACTCACGCTTTTTAGGCGTCCGTATGAGGCACAGATGTACATGAAATTGATTTTAGTCTGTTTGGAAGATACGTACTTCCCTCCTCCTCCCGCAGCTGCTTAGCTGAATATGAGTGATAAAATCTGAACACACACACACAAAAAAAGACACACATACATAAAGGAAAAAGCACACACACAGACACACATACACACACGCACACACCGACTACCTCTCGACAATATGCGTTTTGGAACTTGCGTAAGTGTGCAAAAATGCCTGAAAATTACCGCAATATGCTGCAGGGATTCTTGAGCATTTAATGGACGTCTTGCATTAACTGGCCTTTCCAGTCGTGTTCTTATCACTGGTACCGCATCAGGTCGCCGGAGAACAGTGCTGCCATTCATATGAGGCCGCGAAGTTAATGGCGCTGCGGGCCTAAATTTTTTCGAACTGGTTCAGTTGCTAAATGGCTTTTTACACTTTTTTAAAAGCATTCACAATCTTAGTACCTTAAAGTAACGGAAAAGTGAAGTGTTACGTTTGCAAGCTTAAAAAACGCAGTGGCATCGACAATTTCCGTTAAAAAAATGAAGGTGTGATATCCAAAAATGGTATGCCATTGCGCGTCTGCCGAGCTGTGATAATCGAGTTTTTGATACACATCAGACCTCCATGAATATGTTGGATCTGAGTTTTGAAAATGCTGCCATCAGGCACTCAAAAGCGTTCGAGGAAATGAACGCCAAAAAACCTAGGAAATTTTACGGGCTGCTCAAGAACAATTTTCGATCAGATTAATGCTGCATTGCTAAAAGGCGGCGAACTTTTTCCAGTTTTACCACACTGTATTTCCAAGTCCCTAGCATGGTTGTATGGTTTAGTAAAATTACCAAGTTTTTCATAAATTTTTCCAATAACTTATTTCGAATAAAAACTTTTTATTAGTCTAAAACATCATCTTGAGCAGATTAGTCTGCTTTCATTTTGTGGCAAGTGTCGGGAACGTCGGAAGAGGATGAAATTTTTGATGAAAAAGAGTGAATAAAACAGAGCGCAAATTCAGCTTGCTAATTGAAACTAGAGAGCGAGTAACATGGAGATTAATGAGCCTTCTCATTTTAATCTAAAACGGCCAGCAGAACAGTGAGAAACTTAAGCACACCGGTAATTGACAGGGCTGAGAAATGATTTACTTGCTCACTGCCTGCTGCATACTATCCACTTTGACCACAGCGGATGCTTGTTGAATGCCCACTTTACGGCTTGTCGTCACTCCGGCTAGCGAAGTACCGGTGCCCACTGATGAGGCGGCTGCTGCCGCCTGCGACGTCGACATCGGCAACCCGTAATCGTAATTGCCCACAACCGTTTTGTTCGCATTTCTTAATAAAATCTGATTATCCAAGAACCTCATTCAACGATCAGATGATGGACTAGAAAGAGACCTTTAGTCTGATCACTTCCTGCCTTACCCATTGCTCCCCTCTGCACCACAGAACGCCTAAGTGCTTCCAAAAGTTATCTGCTTCAACAATTAAACTGACGACTTCACGGGAATACT